TGGAAAAAGACAAAAGACAAAAAAAAAAAAAAAAAAATACAAATCAGATTACTTAATTTCTTCAATTGAAATTATTTTGGAAATTTTAACTACCCTTAAAATCCAAACTTTTACAAGAGCCTATGAGGGCATTCATGTAATCTACCCTCATCTCGTCCTAATCTTTCCATGATTTGTTGGGTTCCAGTCCTTCTGGCCTTTTTTCTGTCTCTTGAACATGCCAAACTCTTCCCCACAATCGGACATTTGTGCTTATTTCCATTCCTCATAATGTCCTTTCTTTACCTTATCACTCAGTTGGTATCTGCATATCCTACAGGTTTGGTTTGAACGTCATTTCTCCAGAATCATGGTTTCTTAGACCAAAGTGATTATAATCTGTGATAGTATTATATACACATATGTTCATTTATTGTCTTCCTGTAAGCTCCATGAGGACATAAATATTGTGCTTGATTTTCCCCACTAAGTAGCTACTGCCCAGCACTTTCATGGCACATAGCAGGTGTTCACAAATATCTATTAAGTAGTGAATGAATGAGAAAGACTTGTAAAAGCAATCCGGGGGTATATAACTGAAGAACATCCTTTTGAAGTTTTAAAACAAACAAAATACTTACTTCATCATAACTGATGACTTTCCCCATTTTCTGCAAAACCAAACCAAATCAACCAACAAAAACCCTAATAATTACTTTATTGAGATGATTTCCACCTCACTATTGAAATAAATCCAAATTATATTACTCATTTTGTTTCCTTATTTACATTTAGAAAGAAGGTTTAATTTCTTCTTTGTTAAAATACTAGATTATCTATAACAAACTAGGTGTTATGTTTTCTTTATTCATCTAGAGTACAGCATGGCATTTCTGGTTTGCTGTTTCCAGAAAAGTATTTTAGCAATTACCTTGGGAGGAAATTTCACCCTTCAACTTCCAAGCCATAGGGAACTGCTTATCTACTTTTTGTCTCTACATATTTGCCTATTGAGGACAATTTATATAAATGGAAGCATATAATATATGGTGTTTTGCAACTGTCTTCTTTCACTTAGCATAATGTTTTCAAGAGCTATCCATGCTACAGCATCTATCACTACTTCATTCCTTTTTATTACTCAATAATATGGCACTGTATGGATATAGCCAGTTCCTTCATCTATTCATCACTTGATGGACATTTGGGTTGCTTCCATATTTTAGCTATTACGAATAATATTGTTATAAACATTCATGTGTACTAGCTAGTTTTTATGCCATCCCATATAAATCACTTCAGTTATTTAAGCCCCATTAACTCACTTGCGGCATAGGGATAACAAAACATATCCTTAATGAATTGCTTTCTGAGGACTAAGTAAAATAATTTATAAGGAAATTATTTATAGAATAAAAGTAGTATGACTATAACATGCATTTTATCTTTTAATACTATTTTGTCATATCACATATGCCAGATAATGACCATTAATTCCTTACACAGATTTTCACCACTCAATGTATACTTAAAAAGTCAGGTTCTTGTTTCATTGTCAGATATCTAGTAAAGAAAAATATAAAGAGGAAACAAAAGTCAGGATGTTTCCCCAGGTGTTTCTTATTCAGCTCTTATTTGCTGAATACTTAATGTGTTCAAAGTACTGTGGAGTAATTCAAGAAATGATATTTATGCCCTATTACCAGTTGGGGGTAAAGCATACACATGTACAATTATTTGAAATAATTACAAATTAACAAAATAAACAAAAACCTGAAATCTGATTTTATATAACACATTTTCATTTACTATACATATTCCATATTTAATTAAAGGATTATTAATTACTCAAGACAAACCTTCTCGACTAAAAATGTTAAAAACATTTTGGTAAATAAAGTGAGAGGACATCTTATTTACAGATAAATGGAATGAAAAGTTTGAAAGATTTATAAACAATTGTCATATGTATGTATGAAAGATAAAGAGAAGACAGATGATATGGATGGATTGATGGCTGCATGAATACAAATATATATTACTACATATTTATATTGTAGTACCATAGAAAAATCTCAGTTACTATCAAACATCGATATTCTGAACATCTTTAAAGTAAATGGAAGAAAGTTGAATTTTAATATAATTAATAGGTACCTGCAAATTAAAATAATTTTCCAGTAAAGGGTGTCTTTTGGCCACAAGTTACTGTATGTTCATTAAAAAACACTTGATTTTAAAGGAGGTTTATGGATTTTACGAAGACAGAAAATAATAAATAAGTCAATATTTGAAAATTTAAGACATTCAAAATATTTTCCCCAGTTGATTTCATAGAGGCACAGCAACAAGTATAGTGAAATCCACTAGAGGGAGCTGATATTATTGTAAAGTTTTAATACCTGATTCCTTATTAAGAAAATAAACCCCTCAACAAAAGCAACTTTGAAGTACAGGAAAAAAATATGTATTTATCTTTTGCTTTATTTAGTTCATTTCATTTTTATAAAAATAAAAATCTGAAATGAGGAAGGTTTCATGTTTATTACTATATTAATTCTGGAAATGATACTATATGGTGAATTCTTTGAATATTTATAAAGAAAAGCAATAGGAAAATGTGCTTTCCAACTAATTATTGTTTTAGTAGAAAACAAAAACATATTCTTGTGCTTCTTATAACCAATTTGGTGAAGGGATTTAATTTTTTTTCTTACCTTAATGCCTTAAAACCCAATTATACTCTATAATCCTTTGTGTGTGTGCAGATGAACATTATGTATGTATGTGTATAGTGGATCAAAAACTCATTAACTATGCTTAAAAGTGTTCATAAACCTGTCTCTCAAAGGAATTTTGTCTTAAGAATTAAGCTGATGAGTAGAGATATTTTGGAGCAGATATAATGTATTAACATCATCTTATAAGAGCAAATTAGTGAGAGACAAAAGAGACATTTTGAAAAATTTGTTAGTCACATGGTATACATTTACATAATTGCTACACTTTTATCTTTTATTTTATTATCAAAGAAGAAAAAGAGGATTTATGTAATTATAATGATCCAATAGTAAAATGTAGCCCAAAGAATAATTTGTCCTTTGCAGAATTTCAGTTGCCACATGTATGCTATAGCAACAATACTCTTCAGATAAATTGATAGAAGTATTAGAAGATGCTTAGCTAAATATCCTTAAACAGAGCAAACTGGATTTAATGAAAGCCTACTCACGCAGCTTCAATAGGTCTTTTATTTTCTTCAATGTTCAAAAGTCTGATTCTGAAATTTGCAAGTACAAAACATGCCAGTACAAAATATGGTTTATTTGTTCCTCAAAGTCATGGAATTATATGGTGGAAAAAGAAATCTAAATATAACATATATAAGTTTTGTAACACAAAAATATTTCATTACTTTGTAATACTGGTTGTAAGGAGTGCAGTTCCATTGATAGAACTTATTCTCTCATGTTAGTACTTTCTGGTTTCCCCACAAATAATTAATTTGGAAAATGTCAAGCTAGCCACATTAAGTATTTTTACTTACTTGTCTGTAGCTCTTTCTCTCTGGCTTGCACATCAGCAAAGACTTGGTTAAAATGATTTGTAAAGGCCACAAAGTCTGCATCCAGGAACATTGGCCCTTGTCTTTTCTCTTTCAGAGCTATGCTTTGAATTTTTAATCGCTCAATTTGAGGCTGAAGAGCTGACAGCCGGTTGACTTCATCCTGTACCACAATTTAGAGTATTAAAAATAAATAATATTTTTATTTTTGCATAGATTACATTTTTGCAAAGGAAGATGTTAAAAGACAGTGATGTAACCTTAGCCTAATACCCATAACAAACATTTGATAAGAAACATCCGTGATGATTTAGGCAAGCCTTTATCACAGGTCATCAATTTAAGAATACCTTGGCTCTTCATTCAATATGTATCATCATATCATATATAATGATCGTTAATTTCAAGATGACACAATTTAGAGCATTAATGGGCATAAACATGTACACTTGAAAAGTACTATAAATGACCTTAAATCCTTTCCACAAATTAAGTATGGAACTCCGATTGCATCCCCCATCTCAAAATTGTGTGCCTTTGCTTCAAATTCTAAGCTCATTCAATGAACAGTACGTTTTTATCAATTAGTTTTTGTAAAATATAAGTTATGCATACCTACATACATACTTATATACATAATATAATAATTACAAATATATTCATATATAAATAGTACGTAGATTTTATGTGTGCTATTTTATATATGTGTGCTATATATGTTATGAACATATTTAAAATCTATATATTATTTATATATGTGTATATATACACAAAGATACATATTTATATTTATATTCTTCTACCTTTTGTATGGTCTCATTACTTCTCCTGACCCAACAGGGAATTTCCATTCTTTTAATTAGAGTGACTGTTTAGGTTTTCTCTTATTGTCCTCACATTATTATTAATAGAACCCCCTTTCATTGTCAATAGTACTCTGGTTTGGATGATAAAATTACATGGGCATTGCTGTACTTCTCCAACATAGTAATCACTAGCTGTATGTGGCTACTAAGCACCTGAATGTAGCTACTGCAAATTTAGATGCACTGAAATTGTGAAATACACAGTGAATTTCGAACACTTGGTAAGAAAAAATAAGAACATAAGCTATCTCATAGATTTTTATATTGATTAACCCTTAAAATGATTTCATTTTAATTTATCAATAGACAATATAGTTAATTTTCATGTCCCTTTACCAGTTCCTATTTTCCCCCTCCTTTTCCCCACTACCCTCAATCAACATCATATCTGTTCACTTGTCTTAACAAGTTCAAGGAATTGTTGTGATTGTTGTATCTTCTTCGCCCTGCCCTTGATTGTTTGTATGTTTTTATTTATTTTTTTCAGCTCCCACAAATAAGTGAGAGCATGCAGTATTTCTCTTTCTGTGCCTGGCTTATCTCACCTAATATAATTTTCTCTAAGTCCATCCATATTGTGGCAAATGGTAAAAATCATAATATTTTTGATAAATCTGGTTAAAATGCATTATTGAAATTCATTTATCTGTTTACTTTTCCTTATATAATGTAGTTTCTTGAACTTCTAAAATTATATATGTAGTTCCAATTTGTGGCTTGCATTATATTTCTTTTGGACGGTGCTATACTCTACGTAAATGTTTTCATACTTTTGTTTTCAGTAAAGGTGCAGTTAGCTTGTATTTGATACATACATAATTTAAACTCAAAGAGAAATTATGAAATGCTCTTACTTGAAGCATTACTATCATGATTACTTATAATTTATACCTATGCTATCTTAAGAGAAATGCACTTGAGGATTGTTTACCATTTAATATGCAAAAGGCAAGATAATTAAAATTTAAAAATTGAATCATGAGCCAATTAGAAGAGAAAAAATTGAAAGAATTACAGCTATTACAAACTAAATTTAAATCTGGGCTTCCTGGAAATCAAAAGGCATAAAACATGGTATTTTTAGATGTATGCATACTCTTGGAGAGAAGAACTTTTGTCCTAGGATTGGCTGTGATAAATGCATCATATAAGTCCTTTTATGGTGGCAAGACTACCTAACGGACAATGCCACTTGAACTCATTTTTAGAAGATATAAAAATAACTAGAAGGAATGTGGCTATGTGGTTACTACAGTATGAGTTGATTTGGGTAGGCTAATCTCTGACAATTAAATTCTTCTGGTGAGTGAAGAGTAATGATACTTAGCAAAATGGGGAGGTGGCCCATCTCCCACATTCAAATATAAATCCTCTCACTTAAATCCCAGAATGTTGGTGTATGTGTGTGGATAAAACATAAGACAAAAGGTGAAGGGTAATATTCTTTGTTTTTTATTACAGAAATACATATACTTTGTATACTAGACTTGCAAATTACAGCATTGGCATCTGCTGTGAACATTTAAGAACCCGATTTACATTTGGCCAGATGGAAGGCCGTCATTTTTCCTGTTTAGGGGGCAATAGAGAAAACCTACAATATAACCAAGCGTGTTCTGCAAAAACAAAGGAGACTTTGAAACTAATAAAACATTTGGACAAATGTTCAGTTGAGACATTAAGGTCCTGAGAATAAATCATAGGAGAGATCATTTTGAAATGAAGTATTCAACATTTAAAAGATGTTAACAATTAGCTATTATTTCCCAAAAAAGTGTGATTGGTCCTGCAGAGTAAGGCATCTTCCCTGAATCTGTTTATCCTTTGAAATTATGTGCTTACTTGATGAAAGATTTTATATTTTTCTCAGGAAAGGGTCCCTGGATATTTTCCAATTCTCAAAAGGCTCTTAAACCCCCAATATATTAAAAATTAGTTCTGTCAAATATACTGATTATGAGCTAAATCTGCACTCTAATGTTATAAAACATCTCCAAATAACAGAAAACACTGACAAAGGGGACATAATAATTTATTAACCTATCACTAATCATGGCTAAATAGTAAGATATTTAGCTTTTTTTTTTTTTTTGTCCCCTTTTTGTCTTTTTTTCGTGACCAGCAACGGATCGCAACCCTTAGTGTCGCGCCCGTACCGGACCGGGACCGGCAACGGGATCGCAACCCTCGGTGTTGCACCAGCACCTCGCTCAGCCAGTGAGCGGCCGGTCTGCATGTGGGATCCGAACCCTCGGCGGGAGTGCCGCCGCACTTCCCAAGCGGCGCACTGTAGCAGTGCACCACCGGGCCGGCCCCGATATTTAGCTTTTGTATGAATAATATTAAGCTTGTCCTGCAAAATATTTTACCTAGGGTGGCTCATCAAATTAACTGCAACCAAAGGGCCAGAGTGAAAGAGTAAAGAGTGATGAAGCGAGATGGAATTGTGGCAACAGAATTTGGAACTTTGTAGCTGGATACAGTAAAATAAATACTTACACATAGATGGACTTCCCCAACCTTGAGAGAGCATTTAATATATATGATTTTCAGCAATCTCGATTTACTCTTCCGATTAAGGCCAAGATCCTAGCATGCCCCAAAAGTCATCTCTTTGTCTCCTCTGCCTGCCTTTTCCCCTTCATCTCTCATCCTACTTCCCTGCCCCTGTATGCTCAGCATTGGTCTTCTTTCAGTTGCTTGGTCTTTATTGTTCCCTCGCACCATGTTTCTTCTGCCTGAAATCTCTTCCAAACTGTTCTCTTACTTAATCTCAATTCACTATAAGAGCCTTAACTCAGATGTCCATCCCTCAAAGAAGCTGACCTTGAGCAGGTTTTCCCTGTTAGACATTCTCCCCAAATTCTGTATCTTAGTTTAAAGCATTTATCCCTGTGGTCATTTGACATATACTCATTGATTCATTTGCATAATGTCTCCCTCTCCATCTAAACATGCTTAGGGCAGGGCCAATCAATGCTCACTCTAATATTCGCAAAACATACTTCCATTGACTGAATTGTGTCCCCCAAAATTCATATGTTGAAGCCCTAACCCCCATGGGACCATATTTGAAAATAGGGCTTTTAGGAGGTGATTAAGCTTAAACAAAGTCATTAGGGGTGGGTCCAAATCAATAGGATTAATGGCTTTAAGATGAGGAAGAAAGAGATCTCTCTTTCCCTCCATGTACAGGCACCAAGGAAAGCTATGTGAAGACACAGTGAGAAGGTGGCCATCTGAAAGCCAGAAAGAGCCCTCACCCGAAGCTGCACCTGGCCAGACCTTGATCTTGGACTTTCCAGCCTCCGGAACTGCAAGAAAATAAACTTTTTTCGTTTAAGCTACCCAGTCTACAGTATTTGTTATGGCAGCCCAAGCTGACTGACACATTCAGCATCGTTCTTTGCCACATTAAATACAATAAATATGTACTTTTTAGATGAATGTATTTTGTAGATGTTACTACTAACTTCTGTATCTGAATCTCAAAAATCAGGTTAAGGCAATGTCATCAGGTTTTTATTGCAAGAAATAGTGTATGTGGTTTATTTCTTTGATTCACAGAAAAAAAAAGAATACGGGTTCTATTCTTTAATTACAAAAAGTAACTAAATATACAAATTCCCTAGATTTGCATAATAAACTAAATGTCTTCCTGTACTATATTCTTTATATAAAAATATACCTCCTGAGTTTATTTACTTTCTAGTAAAGCTATAGCTCCGATATTTAAAGAAGAAACATCTAGTCTTTCAATTGCTTTTCCATTCAAAATAGCTTTCAATTTCCCATCACTTTCTGGGTTTGATACCTTTTGCAAACCAACACTATCACCTCTCTATCTCCCTTTATTTAAACCATTCTTTTTAAAGTAAGAAAATTAACCCTCATTTGTTGCTTTTTGTATTAAATACATTCATCTCAATCTGTCATTAAAGGTTCATCCTCTAAACCTTTTAACACATTCAATAATCTATTTCCCATGAAAAGTGCACAGCTCATAGTAATGATGGGAAAAGGTCAAGCTATTTTCATTATTATATATCTTGTGCTTTTTTGGACTTGCAGATATGGTCTTTTAATCTCTTTCTCAGGTCCTTTTGTTCTAGTTCTATCTTGTTGGCCCCTCCAGATCCACTGTCCACCCTTCTCCTGTAGTCCAGGACACTGATATCAACAGATTTCAGATCTTTGTCTTTGGCTTCTGATTAAGTTTTATCAGTAGGGAGCCCTGTCCAGATTCTGGAGGCAAAGAGGAGAATGAAGCAGGGTGTTTACTTTCCTGGGTCCGTTTCTATGAGGGTCACTTGGGCTGGCTCTTAAGGCTGCCTTTACCATGGGGATCTGACTCTCCCTGTACGGGTTTCTGTAACTTCTCCCTCTTTGATCCTTTCTTGCCTAAGAGAGATAATAGCTTTGATGCTGGGTTACTGTACTATCCCTGTGGTTCCTCTATTCTGTAACAAAATTTGTAAAATATCTCTTTGTAAAAAAACCTTTCTCCAATTATTTTAATTTGAGTGAACCACCAGTTTTAAAGATTTTCCTTATTGATCCAGTTATTCTAATGTATCATATTGTTGTTGACCTGTGTTTCTGGCTATGTGTATAGATTCCACTTTTTCAAAATATTACTGGATTTTGCTGTTAGAAATAAAAAATTGCCAAAGTATAGGTCATTTTTTGTAAGGCATATTTTGTTTCCACACTCCCAAACTGCCTCACAGTTTTGCAAACTGACAAAATCAATTAGTCATGTGTAACTACTCTAAATACAATTTTAGAATTTCAGGTATCAATACATTACCTATTTAAACTGATTTTCTTTGCTTATATTTTGATCTTCACTGTGCTTAGTTAAATCCTTAGGAGGTGAAAATTTCATTACTAAACACCTTGCTACTGTCCTCTTAAAAATTGCCAAGAAATGCCTACTGATTATGTTTCAAATGGAAGGAGGAAAGATTCTTACCTTACACATTTTTAACTGGCTTTTAATTGCTGTTGGCTCTGATGTGATGGTGGGTTGGGTTTTCAACCAATTTTCAGCAGTAGTTGTCATCTGCTCCAATTGTTGTAGCTGATTATAGAAAGTGATGATGCTGTTCTGATACTCCAACCAGTTAAGTCTCTCACTTAGCAACTGGCAGAACTCGATCCACCGGCTGTTCAGTTGTTCCGAGGCTTGTTTGATGCTGTCAGCATTAACACCCTCTAGAAAGATTAAAATTTTAAATATATCCCCTGAAGCCACAGACTGAAAGAAATGATGTAAAAACCAATACATCTCAATTGTAAAATTATTCATCATATGAATAATTTCAAACAAAATCATTTATTTACTGGTAAAGATATAAAAGTATGAAGATGATTTCTGAGCATCAATTGTACATTATTAGTTGCATCTTATAAAATAATATAAACATCAGAAAATAATAAATAAGGAGACATAAGATGTAGAAGAGTTGAATGTATTTAAATAAAAACAAAAATGGTCAAAGCTGGTGGGGGACGGAAGGTTGATTATGGACAGATAACATTCTGAATGTTTACAAATAAATGTTAAATACATGTATATTATTCAACTAACTTGCATTTTCATTTTGAAAAATGAGTTTAGGGTTTAGTTGAAATGCTATTATATGTATGTTTTTTTCAAAAGGAAAAAAAATCCAAATTTAATTATTCTCTATTTCTGCTGTTAAAGTCTAAAAATAAACAGATCGTACGTGGATCTAAGGACGTGAAAGAAACACTAGGAAAAGTAATCTTTCTAGTATAAAAAAGTTTTTCATTTACAAATGTGGAAGTTAATTTGAAAGTTTTAAAATCATCAGCAAGACTAAATCTGAAAACTCTATTAAGGGCAAAATGGAAACACAAGAGCAAACTATTATCATGATTACCCTTTGGAGTACCTGCTATTTGCCAGAAAATATGTTATGTCTATTCATATATGCTATCTTACTTAAAATTTGTCAAAATGTGATATATGAGTAATGTCAATCCAAGTATATATTATTCTATACATAGCATGAAAGTATAGCAACATCATGCAATGCTATGGACTGAAATATCCGAACTCTCCAAAGTTAGTTCAAAAAATTTGGACTTTCTCAGATTTATTAGTTTACATAGTAACTTCCTCAATAAATGACATTACATAAAGAAGGAAATACATTATATATGATATCATATATTTTTTAATAGCTATGTTAGCACTGATGAGTTTCTTATATCTTGGAAATACTGAATATTTGGATGTGTCATATTCCCACATTTGTCCACAAAGACCTCACATATGCTCACTATAAAATTCTTCCTCTAGATTGAAATATCTAAGGGTAAAATGATTTGGTAGAAAAACGGGTTGTCTATGAGAACCTACTTTTATAAATGTTCATTTGACTTAATTGTCTGGTAATATGATTTAGTTAAAGGGAAACTAAGTTCCTAAAAAGTTTGAAGAATATCTCTAGTAAGCATAATGCCTCTGGTTTTGCTAACTTGTATTTCCTTCCTACTTTACCCTTTTAAAGACTAAAAATATGGATTTGAATTCAACAACTATATTTTTTAGCCTCTTTTACTTTCCTCTGCTTAGATGTTCTAATTTGCAATTTGTTGTGATCATGTTATGCTGCCAAATCACATCTCTCAATTCATTTGAAACACGACTCTAACTTTACTAATTTCAAAGTATGATGCTACCTAGGATTAGCCTGGAGGAAACACACTTTGTAGAGGGAGAGAACATTCTATGGGCTACAAAGTAGAGCTGGGGGGAAGGGGGCTGGTTGGGGATAATTGGGTGGGGGATACGGGGTACAAATGCAATTTGTGGTAATGGGTATACAGCCAGTATAAATCTGGCCCCCACATCATGGGCACAAGGGGTGACAATCAGCTTTATATCTCATGAATATTCATAACGTATAAAAAAAGGAAAGAAAAAAATAATAATGGCAACAATCTTTTCCTCCTTCTTTGGCTGATATGTTTTTAAAGAGATATAATGGGGAAAAAGATGTAAAAAGAGAACTATACATGTCTACATATACCAAGCTATAAAAGAAGCCTGTGGTTTTCAGGAACTAAATGTTCTTCTAATACTTTGCTAATACGTAGGAAAGGAATTGGTTTTGTTGAGATATCTGAATATGTGCTGTGGTATGCTGTTCGTGATAACTTGGTTTTGAGCAGTGATCAAGAATTGTATCAAAATATGTTTTGGAGGAATGCTACTAGGTAACTGTAATGGTAAAATGATCACATTTGGTACAAAGTGTAAGAGAGGAATCTAAAATTTCAATAGTATGTCACTCAGTTTGAAAAAAAGTATCATGATAAAATGTTAACATTATTTCTGGAAAATAAAAATGCATAGTTTAAAAATACACAGGAGAATTTTGTAATTATGTTAGGTAATGCCTCAAAAATATGCCATGGATCTAAATGATCAGGTGTTTAGGAGAAACATTTTCAGCATATACCGAACTTGAACAAGCACTTAGAAGAAGGACGTCCATGATGTGTGACAAATTAATATAAATCAGAAGTTAAGTAGGTAAATAAGAGATGCTAAAGTAAATTAAAGGTACTGATACACTGATGCTGGATTGAGTATTATTTAACATTTGTGTAAATGATAAAGGAACACAGAGAGAAATCTCTCTGTTCCTGAGAAAGGTTAACCATACAAAGACCCCTAGCAATTAGCAATATAAAACCACAGTCAATTTTCAATATGAATGATATATTTTGATTTTGCAAAAAGATAAAATAAACTATAATAAAATAGCAACAGATTCTAAGGTAATTATTAAAATTCAGGATAAGCTATAATGAGTCCTTGTTGATCATTACGCAAAACTATGTTGTGCCAAAAAATGTCAAGATGCCAAATATCACTTTAAAAGGAGTTAAAATAAAAGAGAAAAGTCAATTTTGTACAAATCCATAACACTGAAATCTACAATACTCACTATTTTCATTTTGATCTTTACAACTGAATATAGGCAAATAAAATGCAGTAAAGAGTAAAATAGAGACTCCCATATAAGGATAAAGGAGGAGACAGGCAGAAAAGCATAGAAATTAACAGTGAGAACTCTGGTGTTAGATGGAACTGAATTCAAATTTGACACCCCTTACCAGATGGGTGAACTGAGTTCAGTTTTAATCTAATTGGGTCTCATTTTTCTCATCCAGGAAATGAAGATAAAAATAGAATAAACCTTATCAGATATTTATGAGGGTTCTGAGTTAACATATATGAAGTACTTACACAGGATCGGACATATACCAGGTAACCAATAAATAGTAAACAACGTTAGTATAGAAAAAATGAAAAAGAACATGTAGGCAACAAGAAAAGAGACCAGATCTCTCAAATGTTGAAATTAGGTAGGGGAAGAGGGAGCATTTTAAATGACTAAAAAAGGTCATTATGCAAAGTTTATGATTAATGTTTTAAAAATTAGTACTAATTTTATGTAATACGAAACAAATATAGGGTATTAAAAGTGAACACAGATTTTTTGAAGACATTTTATCTATAATCAGAAATGTATTCATAAGAGTTTATTTTGGGAATCTTAAAATATTTGGTCATACATTTATAATCATTTGAAAGTGAAGTTATAAAGAACAACCATGCCAAAACTAAAAACAGAAATTTCTATATGTCACTGGCAAAGACACGGTGTTGACTGCAGAGAATCGGTAGTCTTATTAAGAAGGATTTGTAGGTAAATTAATTGATGCATGAATATGCTTCCTGCTCAACTAGAGTTTAAACTGTCCTAAAGTATAAACTCCAGGAAGTATGTATCCACTGGCAGTATCTGATAGGGTTCTCGGCTTAGAGTAGGAACAAAATAAGTACTTCGTACTTGTGAACTCACCCAACACCAATTCAGTAGCTTATTTCATATGAATACAAACATTAGGAGAGCAATACACACAGAAACAAAAAGCCACACACAAACAGGCACACGGCCCCTCCTGCTTCGAGTTTGCTTTAAAATACGTGAGCAGGAGATCAAAACCATTGTCATATGTAACATTACTTAATGCATCTCTCTTAAATTAAAATTAGAAATGCCATTACTTCAACTTCACGAATTAATTGGCCATCTATTTGCCAGTACTACTGGTGAAATTGTACGAAGATTCCTTAAAACTTCTCTAGAATAAATAAGGGTACAAAATATTTTCCAAATGAACATTCACTTATGAATAATTTTAATATTACATAAAATTGTTTTATGTACATTCATAGAATTATGGTAACTCAACTGAAATTTTAAGTTTTATAACAATTTGTAAATATCTACAAAGTTTTAAGTATTAATCACTTCAGCATCTGTTTTTCTAATTTTTTGCTAGCTATTTAAGAATACAAACACTAATGCACCAAGCATTATGAACAATACTTATGGAAACCATTTTGTAGTAGCACATTAGAATTTCAGAGATAATGGATCATAATCCATTCACATCTCATATTCTAAACAACCCCTGGAATAGTCTATGAATAACTATATTGCACCCAGAGGAAATGGATCATTACTTGAAGTGCATCCATTAATTTTATTACTTGTGTACAGTACATAACAGACTGTTGGAATAATTTTAATTGTACACCACCTTCTATGCAAGTACTTCAGAACTGCCACTTAAAGTGAAGTATTCCTCATCAAGTATATTCATCATTAGCCATGTACCCAGGGTAGAATAATGCAAAACCTATGTTTTCAGAGCTCTTGAATTAAGAATAAAAACTTAAATTTGCTAATAAATAGTCTCCCATGTTTGTTGCACTTTAAGTGAGGTTCATTACAAATCCATTTGGCATTCACTATAATAGCCTAAAATGTACTCAAAATTTATTCAGAATTCATGACAATAAGGTCTGAAGCTTAATTCTAGAAGCCACTATGACCACAGTGAATTTTATACAACTAGTGTGTCATTTGAAAAATAATAGCTTCTACAAATTAATAGTATATATAAAATTCTACCCCTAGTAAGGACAATATAAAAATTTACTACTACAGCTCCTTTTGTATTTTGTTCTATTTCTTAAAATCATAGAATTATAAGAGAAAAAGTCAGATATCTACTCATATTTGTTTTTGCCACTAATGTCCTGCAACAACTGTGATCACCATGATTTCCTCCCATCATACACACACACACAGACACACAAA